GTGTCACGATCGCATATTGGTACAGATGTTGTATATATATATTTATGTTAGTATTGATAATGTATATTGTTTTATACTTATTTGCATGAATCTCGGTTTTTAAATAATCCCGCTCCGAGGTGAGTATGTGTTTGCGAGAGCGTCCGAGAGTGGTAAAAGTACTGCACGAGAGCCGATCTGTCCAAGATGGACGTGCATGTCAACGTGCCATAAAAAAACACCCGGACTTCAGACACATAACACCTGAGATGTGGTAAGTCAGTATTATAGTGATTTTGTTGCTAATTATACGCTATATATGTTGCATCAGTTACTGGTGAATGACCGCAATAAGCTAATTCATGTGCATGTACTGTGTATCGTTAATATGTAGGTGCGGTTCGTTCATGCGGAACATTGTTTACATGTATTGTATATAGGGATATGCATGTTAGTACCCTACTATATTAACTAAGTAAACATATTATGAATATGTATATATATCTATGATTTAGTTACATATGTTATACTTGTATAAGAGATCGAAATGTTAGTTTAAATACTTTAATGCACGTACGCAGGTGTTACGCATTAGTGATTGTACAGGTAAGCGTGAGGCACTTTCTGTAAGATTACGGTATCTATCCATTAGTGTTGATATCCGATATTATTGTGGTTAGGATTCCTTATTATAATTTATCTAGTTGGATATATTATAATTAGTCCGCATAATAAGTGTTAATCAAATACATGCACATGCTTGGTACTAACGTCCATACATTGATATATCTATGTAGTGAGTCAATGTATATTTACATGTACTATTTACGGTGATATTATAACTAGGTTTTACTGTATTGTGTGTATGGGCAATAGTGTTAGTATGTATGTTCATTAATTATAGATTTCCATGAACGGGTTGGTAGGTGAGAGGAATGTGGACGAGACAACTGGCGCGACACACATTGGGTCAGTTCCACAAGGGCAGACAACTGGTGCTACACACAGTGGGTCAGTTCTACAAGGGCAGACAACTCATAGTTGTACTGACGTCATTCGTCAGTGAGGCAGCAGTCCTCAGGTCATCTGCGGAGCCGGAGGCCTGCATTATAGCACATCGGTGCTAGACCGTTCTCAGCACATCGGTGCTAGACCCTTCTGCGGTTGGGTATATATCCATGATTAGCGGACGTGGACTATATGGTGAAGCGGATAACAAGTTTGTGAGACTTGTTTAGTCCATCGGATCCTTTCCATATTGTATTGGGTATTGCCCACATGGACAGTGGAACTATTGGTATACAAGCGGCAACTGTGACTCCACCAACCGGAGTAATGACATTTAGTGTTGAATGTATGAATGTGTGTTTGTGAGTGTGAGTACATACTTATGGGGGTTTTCTTCAATAATTATTGTAAATAAACTTGTAGATATTGTATAACAAATCGTTCTGTATTCTCTCAGCTACCGACCGGTCGTCCAACGTTACACCACCTATGTATGATAACTACCTTTCTATAGCTGCCTGAACCTGTCTACAACCACAGGGACCTGATAATTTGTTACAACAGAGCTTTATTTGGACCTAAACTGAGATGTTTAGATTAATTTTACAGGTTTGTGGGGTTTAATATATAGATCGGGGTTTGCATTTATTTACCAAAAATTTATCTAAACCCCCTATTTTACATATTTGGGGGCATTGAGATCAATTTTCGGTAAAAATGCCTTCTAAACCCCTAAAACATGTGGAATTACTCTAAACACCTTAGTTGAGGTCCAAATATAGCTGCAACACAATCTCAGGTCCCTGTGGCTTCTACCTGTCAATAACTATTACCTGTCTATAAATAACACAATACCAATGTCAATTTGACTTCATTAAAAACAAAGCAATGTATTTACCTGTAGGCAGGTCTTTGGCAACCTACCCCCCCCCCCCCCCCTTTTCCCCCAAAACACTGCCCAATCTCACACCATTTGCTTCACGATGCTAGGAGATAAAAGGCTTTATATGTAGTGATCGCTATGGACAGGTGGTCACTATAGACATGTAGTAGTTATGATATTCAGTCATTTTCTAAATACAGAAAAACAAACAAAATGAAATGTGGGTATTGAGTGAGGGGATTGTATGTAGAAAATGAAGGGCCGCCCCCAATTAATCAATATCTTAACATTTATTTTGAAGACCCTGTTAAGATGGACTTGGTTTCGAAAACGATTTGACCCTGGCTCTGAGAGTCAAACTCGTGCCCAGTTATTTGTACACCGGGGTTCTTACACTGTCGTGCCCTTTAGGCCTCACAGTCAACCATGGCTGGTATGTTGTAGGTTATAGAGCTTGTATATATATACAAATCTTAAATACAATCTACATGCACTTGACACCATAAGCTCATCTTTTAAGTGTTGTGCCCGGTACCTATTGTACTGGTACATAAATGTAATGATATATAAAGGTTTTTATGGAGGAAATTTTAAGGTTTGTTTAATGGACCCATGCCCAAATAAAAAACTGACTTTTTTCCAATTTACATTTTTAAATAATCTTAAACTCCTTACAACAGAGTTCTCAAAATGGAGTATGTGTAGAAACTGAAAGGCTCGAATGAGTAAATATAAGAGAAAGATTAGCTTGTCACCCCCTAGGGGCAGATAGCCTCGTGCAGAATAGCACATGTTCAATTGTGATGCTATTAAAATATGTCATCTGTAATTGTGACGTCATCAAAAGTAAATGACAATATGCATACCCCATATGTGTTTTTTAGCTCACCTGCCCGAAGGGCAAGTGAGCTTATGTTATGGTGCGGCATCCGTCGTCCGTCCGTCCTTCCGTCCTTCCGTCGTCCGTCGTCCGTCTGTCCGGCATCAACTTTTTGCTTTAAACAACTTCTTCTCAATAACCAAAAGGCCTAGGTAGATGATATTTGGCCAGTATCATGATGGGATCAAGGGCTACCAAGTTTGTTCAAATAAATGACCTTGACCCACTTTCAAGGTCACAGGGGTCAAATATGTTAAAATCTTCAAACAACTTCTTCTCAATAACCAAAAGGCCCAGGGTACTGATATTGGGCCTGTAGCATGCTGGGATGAAGGGCTA